GTAAATGGAGATTTACCCTTCATAGAAAGTTAGAAGGGGGTGACCGGAGTAGAACTGATTCACACTCATCTTCCCTAAAGGTTATGAACAGTAGATTCATGCTTCTTCTTGCTATATTGGACCTTTCTGTACATTTTTCCAAGAAAATTACATTTTGAACTGCTGATGACATTCAAAAAATTGGCACCAGGACTGCGTAAAATTGCTATGGGCAAAAATAGTTGTTCATATAAGCCACAGAACTTGGTTATGGTGTGATTTACATGGAAGTCTTATCCCTACCAACTTCAGGGACTGTGCAAGTTTCGAAGGTGGTCAACTACATCATAAGAACTGCTAAGCCGTTGAAAATCTGCCCGGTGGAGGAGATTTCCTGGGATTGGCCTGGAGTCATTAGGTTTAGGGTCAATTTTTTTTGTCTTGGCTGAAAAGCAGTGGCGAACTCGAATATGATGATCTCTTGTCTTGGTTGTGTATCTACCACGCACTTTAACCACCAAGATAGCTTCCTTATCTCTGGTGTCTTCACACCACCAACTTTGAGGCATGCCATCAACAAACTCTTCTTGAGTGTTGAAATCCTCCAGACGAACCAATACCTCTGCTGTAAGATCTGGTTTGATTATGTCAGCTGCTGGAGTGACCTGGACACAATGCAAGACCAATAAGTGAAAAGAAATAGAACTATTCTTTCGGACAAAATTCAAAAAGCAGAATGCTCAAATAAGGAAATTCTTGTCAATGAATTCATAGAATTATACTGATTGATAAAAAATCTTAGAAAACCAGTAAGCAGATCTCACCAAATTTAAAATATTAAAAACAGATAGGAAGCTGCATTTGTATATGAGATGATGATGGTGGGAACTTCTTAGGCCTAAAGTCATCGAAATATTATAACCAAAAACTGGAGTTAATTAAGTCTGTAAAATTGTCATGTAACACTGGAAGCTCCCAGCATCTTGAACCAAAGTTGAAACTGAGGTGTCTATGTCTTATACCTTAAACTATAAAATCACCACTACTTAAACCTTAAACACAACAAGTTTCAACTTTCAAGGCAGATTATCATATTCTCAGCTCATATGGAGTCCTTCCCTCTAAATTGAAGTTGCAAGTCTAACAATCTTGAAACAGACCCCACATTCAACTTGATAGCCAATTAAAATGCAAAAACTAAAGCCCATACAGAAAGGCATTATCTAACCCTAAGTCTTATAAATCAAACGGATCTTTTAATGGAAAATTTTTAAAATTTTTACATGAACAAAGATTGCTTCAGCCTGGGCTTCGTGGATTTAGTTAAGGTTCCAATTCAGGTCAGTGAACAGCAATTTTTGTTCATACAAAGGTCTAGGTCTGATTGCTAAATGCGGTAGCCATCTAAAGCAAGAAAACATACCTCCAGCCATCGAGGAAAGCCAAAGGAACCTCTTGGGAGATGATCTGATGCTTGTCCATCCTCTTTGACAGTAGATTCACCTTGACAAACTATTTCAAAAAAAGCACTGTCTTTGCTGCATTTATTTGTTATACGCAAAATTGATGTGTCCTGTTTCTGAAGAATTATGTTGTTTGTACTGACAATAGTTTCTGGAATCTTGCATAATTCTTCCAATGTACATTTAATTTCCTCATTCAAATCCATTATATCGCCAAATTCTTGCCTCCTGACTGACTCATCAACCCGAGCAATCTCAACAGAAAAAATGCAACGGACAGGCTTGTGATCACTGTCAGTCACATCCATGCAAGACTCATACCTGTTGAGCAGGACTCCTCAAGCCTTATTTAGATTCATTTATGATACATAAGTGTGCATACAGAGTACAGAAGAGTGAGAGAACTAAATTGCTATCAAAGCACACAAGAGATACATATCTAATCAGAATCAGAATTAGAACAAACCAAAGAACACTAAACACCCCAAACAACTGCATCTGTGAGAACAGGTAAGAGAAAGAAATTCAAATCATTAAAAAAACCAATAAATTGTCCCATAAAAGCCATAGCTGCATTTAAATCAAAAGATTTTTGTTCTTCCAACAGACCAACCTGGAAAATTTAGACAAAAATGTCATTTGACATAGCTTAACAAGAAACCATACCAATATCATGAGGTCAATAATGGGATATGTAGAACTATTTGAACATTATATGTCTAAAAGAAGAACTAGAGATAGGGAAACTTACCCTGATACA